TGCTCATAAAAACCCTGCAGCGGTTAAGAATAAGAGCTGCTCGTTTAGAATCTGTTTTAATCCACTTTTCAGACTACAAGTAATGGTTTTAAGGGATCCTTTGTTTATTTTCTGCTCACCTCATTTACCTCGCAAGATTGATCCACTTTTTTATTTTACCAGATAAAATAACTAAACACTGTTACTGTACATTCTCTGGTCTCGGCACTGACAGGTTGTGGGTTCGAGTCCCCACTGCGGACCAGTTGTTGTACCCCAGGTGCTCCACTCCCTGACATGGACGGGTGTCACATGCTCTCTAGTTCACTGACACCAGTACAAAAACCAGGTTAGGCTCTGTCCCAGGAAGCCTCTGCGGTTCAGCTCTGTCGACTATCGAAATTGCCTGACTACCAGATTTGTCGGCCGAGAACAAATCCATATTTCTAATGATGGATCTCGACTCCATTTTTAAACAGCAGGGCATGTACTGGAACCATCTGAGAGAAGGGCCTTGCTCAAGGGTGCAACAGCTGTGTACCACCAGGGATTTAAACCTGCAACCCTTCAGTTTGGAATCCGGAGCCCTGACTGCTCTTCCACCCAGCCTTTTCTTCCATTCTGCTGATCTTATCTGAGTAGACACTGGGATTAGACAGGTTTCTTGGTTTGTACAAATATACCCACACAAGATTACCTCACCATTCCTAGTTCAAATCACAAGGAGATTACATCGGCAGAGGCACCTAATCTGGTGCACAGAAAGCTCAGTTTTCATAAGTGTCTGCCTTATGAAACCCTTACAGTACTTAGCAGTAATTGGGAGAAAGGTGAGGCAGGCTTAATACTCGATCATAATAGATTAGCCAAAGAACTGTCTCATAGATTTACTAAGTGCTTGAGATTCTGCCTCGTCTAAGAAGAATCGTACAACAGGTAGTGCTTGCTTTCTTCTGGGATTTAGGGCAGTGGTTTGAGCATCGAAGCTCTTGTGTGGTTAAAAAAGAGAACAGCCTAACAGATCAGCAGTGAAAATCAAAGAAACCTTGCAGGCACAAATTCATTCGGAGTTATTCAGAAAAAATGTGGCAGCGAGGAGCTGAACCAATTTAATAGGCATAGTGTGCACAGAAAACAGTCACAACCCTAACCTGTAACACGTTTGTCTCTGTTCCAATGAAGATCTCCTTGATTCACATCTTGTTTTTGTTTAGAAGACTTGTCATCAAAGGTCTGTTTGATATCTGGCCTTTGTGACGCCTACTTTTCTACTGACTGCTTTATAAAATAGTTTCCCAGTTATCCCACTGGTTCTGACATTCCTGTCTGTCTGAGAAAACAAATCAAATCAGAGTTTACTCAGGGGCACAATGATTAGGGTAAGAGTGAATTAGGCTAAATCATCACTCAGTATTATGTATATTATTCACTGTTATTTCTTTCATCACCTCAGAGACAGAGAAAGATACTGCAGCCTGTTCAATATAGGAAGGAAAATCAATCATTCCCTTCCTTTTTCTCTCTGCATTAACCCTTTATTCTGAGTACAGTGGATAGGACTTATGTTGCTGACACCTGTTACAAACCTGTAGAAAATATCACGTGCACTGTGAATTTTGTGGGATGTTCCTGGTTTTATTTTCTGATAAGCCATTTCATTTAACACTTCCAGGTCAGGTGGGCAAGATCTGTAGTTCATACTTTTTTTTCCATCTCTGTCTAACTGCATTTATTCCGGCGTTTGAGAGTAGTCTCTGTGTTACCCTCTTCACTCTCAAATGACAAAAAGTTGGCAAGAGTAACCTGACACCATGTGACAGGGGACTACCTGGGTGGTTTGTATTAAAGTCACTGCTGATACTTGTCGGGGTATTACAACGCTCATGAGCTGTTCAATCTCATTTCACGACCGACGACATGTAGGGACAACGATACAGGAGGCTCTGCCCTAACCTGAGAGGCACAGGCAATTCGATATTTTTTATATCAATTTGACATTAACCATTTAGATACAAAATTCGGGGTACTAAAATACACCGGCTGCAGGGCTGCATTCTTCAGCACACCTCGGTCTTGGACATCAGGTACATCAGCCAGTGTGGATCCACAGAGCTGAGCCCTCCTCTTCCATGTGGCTCCCTCTGATCTGTGGCTGTAATGCCAAGCGCACACATTGGGTTAGCTGGCGGAGAGAGCACCAGCGCTAAAGACGTGCGAGCATATTTCTGGCAGAGGGTTGCGCTGAGCCTCAAGTTTCCACAAAGCCCCTGATCTTCTCCAAGCCACCCACGTGACACTACAGCGACGTAAGCTTCTTACCGGTAATCCAACGAGAGAGAGAGTGGCTGGACTCGACACACGATCCAGGCCAGTTGAGGGTAGCTCCGACCCTTCGTTATTACAAAACATCTCTGCTTTGGGTTTCCAGCATTTTGGGTTGTTTTCTCTTAACTGGGAGTCACTTAGGCAATGGGGGCAAATCTGAAGATGAAAATATTACTTGCTTGCCGTCAGATCTCTGATTTCAAGCAATGTAATAGTGTATGATATTTTCAAGCTACGTAAGCCTTTATTTAACCAGATACGACCTATTTAAGCCTTTATTTAACCAGATATGACCAGATATTTATACAACAGGCATTTTAGTAGAGCAATCCGAGTGAATCACCTTGCTCAAGAAAAGGTAGTGCCCCACCTGGCGTTTGAACCCACAACCTTGTAGAGTAGCTACAAGCCTGGTGTCCTACCCTGTCCTCCACCTTACTGCCAAATGTATTTAATGCATCTATAATGCTCTGATAAATATGCTGTGGTCTGAGAATTGTTTCCAGAGGTGTGGTGTCCATATTGCTACCAATTTCCTAGAGAAAAAATGTGGTGATTACAATTTCAGACATACAGCCTAATTTTAGGTTCTAAATATAAATGTTGTTATAGAATTGTTACAGGTCAGCTGTATCTACTTTAAAAATATTCTGTTTATAAATAAGAGTTTAAAGCTCTAATTAAAAGCCTTTTCATTCTTACCACCATCAAAGTACGGTAATGATACTATGCTAGAGGTAAAATTAGCAAATTTTGAAGTAAATTTTAGCTTTATAGAAAACCTTTAGAAAAAGCTTTATACCAAGCTTGTGCTGGTAGGAGTCTGTGTAAAACGGAAGTTAGTCACTATTTCTCTGGCTGCTCTGTTGCTGTTGAAAATGGTAGAATTTGGGCACGTGGCTTGCATTTGCTTTTAGGTAACGCGTGTAGAATTACAGGACTGAAAAATCCAGATAACATGAAAAAACCAGAACGTCCTGTGAGTATCGCAGAAGTCTCCACTCTGTTCTCAGATGTGCTGTGATATAGGTGGCTATAAGCTCTGCTCGGGTGCCACCTCTGTGCTGCTGTAATTCAGCTTTTGACCCTTTAGGCCTTCCTCCTAGTGTTTGAAATAGGCCTGTATGACTAATCTTAGCTGGCTAGTTTCTGAAGGACTTCTTCTGGCCCAATTAGATCATATCGGCCCAGTTAATAGACGCCACCAGGTAGGCTAACATGTAAAACGCGAACAGGGGCAACTCCTTGTTGAGCTAAAACAAAAGATCTTGCTACTGTAAGCATTCATTTTTATTTATTCGGTAAAAAGTCAGGGACACATCTCTCCATTTTAGTGGTTGGCTGTGGTTATCTAACTTTTAAAGCCACCTTTACACATGGGAAAACTACACTTCCAGCAAAGGGGCAACTATTTCTGTCCCGATCTTTTATTTTGAGCAGCGAAGTGCTTTCCAGAAATACCGGTAGGTGAAGCTGATCTGGGTGGAATGTTGTAATGTCATTCAAAACCATTGGATAATTGGCAGCGTCACTTCTCGGTGTTAGGAAAGATTAGGGATTTAAAAATAGCTCTGAGGGGGTGTGTGTGCACCAGGCACCAGAAGGGGTGGGCGGTTGCCTCAGTTTAGAACTTCCTCTTGAGAAGAAGCACAGGTCTCTGAGCTGGCGTGTGAAACTGTGGTGCTGTGGCTGTTCAGTTTGCAGAGGAAGTGAACCCCCCCCCCCCACTCCGTGCTGCTGCTCAAATTTTATATATTTTTATGTATTTTACTGTATATTGGGGTTAGTCCTGCAGGCAACATTATGAAAGACTGCACTAGGTAATGGAAGACAAAACTAAAAAGAACGAACCTTAATTTCTGGGCTTCTCTGCACTGTACCGTTAATTAGAAATGAGCAGATTATCTTTAATATGATGTATTTTCCCCTCCCCCCTCGCCTGGCTGTGCACAATGCACAGAACAATTAGAATTAAAAGATCATCTAGCTCAGGAAGCTTATAGAGATAAGGGAAAAGTAATTTGAAATGATGATCCATTTTTTTTTCCCCAAAATTGCTGTTCACTCCAATGGCCTTTTTGAGGTCTTATCTGGTGAGCTGCAGTACCGGTTGTGAGCTTTGACGCAATTTTGTGACCAATCGGCGTTCGGATTTTTAATGCCATTTGACATTATTAAAACGCGCAGCTAGGGGTTCAGTCAAGTTCTCATCAAAGCCACCTAGACGGATGTCCTGGAAAAACATCCCTGGAGCTCAGCAATTTCAGGAAAATCCATTTCTTTTTTGTAGAAATAAAAAAAAAGATCTAGGGGACTCGTATGCAGGAACCCTTGAGTTTCCAAAAATGTGATATAGGTGTGGTAACACAGTGTGAGGTAAGGGCTGTTTTATCCTGTTGACAAGCAAATCCCACCTGTGCCCTTGACAGTAAAGCACATTTTCCAGATTTCCTTTTCTATGTAGAAGAAGACAGAAAGAGCATGCCTGTCAATTTGTGTGTGATGAGGGAGCTAAGAGGTAAAGAGGAATAGTGCATCACACAGGGATGACAAACCTCTCAGTGTTTCCAAAAAGGCCAGCTTCAAGGTGCAGGAAAAATGGACTTCGCCCTCCTTCTGAGAACATTGGTTTCGCTCTGTAAAAAAAAAAAGGTCGACATTCAGCGAACTTGACTTTTTTTATTTTCCTTTTTCAGATTATTTGTGCTCTCCTGACGAAAACGTTTACAGCATCGACTTCACGAGGTTCAAAATCCGGGACATGGAAACGGGCACCGTGCTGTTTGAGATCACCAAGCCTCCTGCAGCTGGTAATATTTCAGTTCTCACCTTCGCTCACGCCCCTGACGTCTGGAGCTTGTGGAATGTGAAATGCCACGCGCTCGCTTGGGAAGGAGGCCTGTGTGAGCTGATGTCGGTACAGAAACAGCTGCCCTAGTGTAGGAGAAGGCAGTGTTTGTTATGCTGACATGCATCAGGGCCTTGCAACACAGCTAGTGGGTGGTTCCACTTTTCACATTCTGTGCTGCCATGCCTGTTTACCCTCTCTGCTCTCGGTAAATGTCAGCAGTGTGGGAACATGCTTGTGTAGGCAGGGTGATGACCTTCAGGGGCGGTCCTTCGAGGGGGTCAGTGACCCCACTGGGCATCGGTGGGGGTCCCTCTGCAGAGAGAACCATCTGTGGCTCTTGTCCGATTGGCCTAGACCAGAGAGGGGTTGATTGCTGGGCGTGTTAGAGTACTGCAAAGGGAGATTACTGTACTGTACATCCTCCACAGAGAAAATCAGGCCCTTAAAGCTTAATACATCCAGATCTTTATGAGAAAACTCCACAAGAAAATTAAACATAGATACTGTATATAATTTACCAGTAGAAAAATCTGCCAATCTATATTACCTTTATGTTTCGCTTTCTAGTTCTGCATTAATACTATACATGGAAATTAAGTCCAGTTGAATTTATGCCTTGGACCAGAAGCTTCACAGTGAAAGGAAGTGTGATACTGGGAAACGTACTGACCGACCCTGTACTTTTTGTGCCAGCTGAAAACCTATGGTTTCCCTCCACCTGTTCTAATACAGTTTTCCAGGGCCATTATTCAGAGCGTTCTGACTGCCTCTGTAAGGCTTTATTTGGCATTGTGACTGCCTGTTCCAAAGGCAAACGGCAGTGTGTTGCTCACTCTGTAGAGAGGGTCATTGGCTGTCATCTGTCCTCCATTGACCGTTTGTACAATTCCAGCGCAAAGAAGTGGGCAGGGGGGATTGCTGATGACCCCCCTCACCCAGGTTACCACTTCTTTCATAAACATCCCTCGGGAAGACAATACTGGTCTATTAAAACCAGAACCAACTGGTATTTGAACAGCTTCTTGCCTAAGGCTGTTTTTTTGTTGTTGCTTAAACAGAATTCCTAATTATATACGTGCTGTCTTAATGATGTGTATTAGTCTTGCATCAGCAGACAGTTTTTGCAGCACGCCAGTACACCAGAGTAAATTCCTTGGACGTGAGATGTACTTGGTGACTCTGATCCTGACTGGTCCCGATACTGGTTCCCTGGTAGCGTGTGAGATGAGGCTGGATGAGATCCGGGGACCATCAGTCTGATCGGAACCAGATGAGCAAAACACGGCCTCCTGTCCTCTTCGGGCTGTCTGATGGAGGAGGAGCAGGAGCTAGGTGCTGGGGGAGTGTGGGGGCGGCTGTTTGAGTGGTTCGGGACGGCACTTCCAGAGTGCGGCCATGCTAATGCCTTCCGCTCCCCTCGTACTCCACAGAGAGAGGCCAGGGGGACAAGAAGGACCTGGACCCCAACGCCGGCCGCTTCGTCCGCTACCAGTTCACCCCCGCCTTCCTGCGGCTGCGCCAGGTTGGAGCCACGTGAGTAACTGGCGCTACCGTTTCCGGAGCTGCGGGGGGGGGTCCTGCGCGGCTCAGTTTAGGAAGGAGGGTCTCCGGAGAGCCCCAGCTAAGTTGGCCTTCAATCATCCATTTCTAAGGCCGGCGAGTTATTGATCAATAAAGCAACTCAGTGAACTCATTGAACCACAGGAGCCATAGGGTATAAGTGTATGGTAAATGTGGTTCATTATTATTAAGGATTTTGATCCAAAGCATCTCTACATTATTCAGTTTGACTAATCGACTGCTAAAGTCAATCAGTTAAATGGTTCTGAGTCTGTAGACAGCCACCCATTGCGACTGTGGGCTTAACATTCTTGACTGAAGGGAGACTTGGGCTCTAGGGGCCGACACACACAATGTCCTGGATGTCGTGGCCAGTCAGACCTCATGTCGTGCTAGCTTTCTGTCTTACCTTTTTGCCAACATTTACTACTACTGCTACAACTAATTCTTTACACTTACATAGCACTTATCTGGACACTGTGCTCAAAGCACGTTACAGGGAATGGGGACTCCCCTCCATCACCACCGGTATGTAGCCCCACCTGGATGATGCATCTGTCTGCATTGTCTAATCTGTTCCCAGGTTTTTCGTTTTCATTCTTGTCTTGACTTATCAGTGGACAAGGCTGGGCATTGCAGGCATTGGGTTGGAGCCGGTAATTTGAACAGGGGTGTGACATGGGTTTCTCTGTCATTGTTGTGACGTTGACTCGGGGCTATTGTAAAGCAGGCCACCACCTGTCTGTGGGACCACATGGCTCTGAACACCCTGAAGTTGGACGGTGTATTTGATTTTTGACCTTGCTTCCTCCTCCTGCGACAGGGTCGAGTTCACGGTCGGAGACAAGCCCATCAATAACTTCCGCATGATCGAGAGGCACTACTTCCGCGAGCAGCTGCTCAAGAGCTTCGACTTCGAGTTCGGGTTCTGCATCCCCAGCAGCAAGAACACCTGCGAGCACATCTACGAGTTCCCCCCGCTCTCCGAGGAGATCAGTAAGTACAGCCGCCTCTCCTGCAGCTCTTCCCATGTGGGCAACCTCAAGAGGGCGCTGGGGAGCAGACCTGCGTGATCGGCCTTTCCGCAGGTGGCACTTGTTAAAGGGAGTGTTTGATTGGTTGAGGCCTACAGCTCTTTGAAGAAATGCACATGCCAGTTAATTACGCCCAACATTTTAAACAGTCATTGCACTAAAGAGGTAAAGTCTCTGGCTAAAGATATAGACACGTATTAAGACCCAAAGGGATTGTCCCGCAAGGGGAACACGCTGTATCTCAGGTGTGGCGAAGGGACGCAGGGGAGCGTGACTGAGAGGAGGCTGGGGTTGACATGCTTCCTGGATGGGTGACTGATCTGTCGTGTTTTCTTCCTCCCCCTCCTCTCCCGCCAACAGTGCGCGAGATGATCCTCCACCCCTACGACACGCAATCCGACAGCTTCTACTTCGTGGATAACAAACTGGTGATGCACAACAAGGCGGATTACTCGTACAGCGGGGGGCCCTAGGAGCGCAGGGGCCCCGCAGGGGTGGGACAGCCATGGACTGGAGGAGAGACACGGCCACACACAGCTGCACTCCACACTAGCCCTCCAAGCCCACGTCAGGGACCCCCAGGGAACCTCCAGCCCTCCCTCGGGGAGCTCCTGGCCTCCACCCCACTGATCAGTAGCCAACAGGCCAGCAGGCCGGTCCCCCATGGGCCCAGCCTGCTAATGCACCGTCTCCTGACCTGCACACAGGCCCCGCTGAGCGAGACGCCGCTCCTACCTGCTGGGTTCCCTCTACTCTGCACGCGGGGAGGCAGCCAGTGTCACAATTTCCCTTCTGACTGACCCCTGACTGAACCTTTTCTTCCTCCACATTTCTCTTCACAGCTCTGGCAGCTTATGATTTTAGCGGTTTGAAATCTGCAGCCTGGTTTTGGGCGTTTGTGTTCAAAACAGTCCTCTCATGTTCTCTCTGGGCTTTTTTTTTTTTGCTGTTTGACCACTCGTGGGGAGACCATCCAGATTCAGAGAGGTGCACTAGTGCATCTCGGGTGTATTTCCCAAAGGGCAACACAAACAGTAAAACATCAAATGTCAGAACTAAGAAACGGGGCTTAACCAAGACTGACATGCATGAACTGAAAAGCAATAAACACAAGATACCAGGAAAAAAATGATGTCTGAACCCCATGTAATTTTTTTAAATTATCCCAGTGGCCAATACATCTAGATTTAATATATTTGACTTCTTGGATACTTCTGAAACTGAATTGGATAAAAGTTGAAAATATCTTTGACCCCATTAAACTCTGTTTATGTCCTATGAAATGATCGGAGCTGTAGATTTATCAGACAATGTGCTGGTTAAACATTGCCATGTTCAACCAACACAGTTTTAAAAGACATCTGGCTTCTTATGCGTTCTTGATACAAAAAATACAATATTCACATTTTAGGGCTTTTTGAAGGGACGTGATTAATTTGTTACAATTGTAGTGTAGCAGCTGACTTGTGGATGACCATCCTTCTTAGTGAGTTGTGTTTTCTTAGTATGACTAAATACTATTGTATAAATTCTACAAACCATCCTTGAGCTCTCCTAATGCTTTTCTTTTGAACAGTCAATTAGAAAAACATTCAATTATTACTCTGTCATGCAGTAAATAAGCAAGTTTACTTACCATTTTTGTGTATAATGGACTTGAGCTTACAGAAGGGACTTCTAACAAATTGTAAACTGGTACTGTATGTGTGTGCGTGTCGGTGCGTGTTTGTGTGCATTTGTCAACTGAGCTGAATGACTAACTGGAGTTGTGACTGAAAACGTCTTTATTGCAAGGACGTGCTGCGCTGGCTTGTGTAGCACGATGCAGGTTGACTGTTATCCTCACTGTATCTATTAGTCTTAGAAAACAAACTGTGATTGCTGTTCAGCTGTGACCAGGGATCATGTCCTTATTTGTCAACACCACTGCACAAGAGAGTGTGTGCGCTTTAAATGCGTATAGTTTAACTAGTTTTTCCCGTTGTGTCAACTTTAATAAAGAAGTGGGGCTCCCAGTATAGAAAGTTTTCCATAAGATTTATCCATAGAGAAATCTGAGATTGGAAACGTTTTTCTGATACTTTGTTCTAGATTAGAATGTTGTGTAACACAACGGCCGTCTGTTATAGTTAGAACATTATACTCACTCTCTGTTTGTTACAAGTGACGACACTTGAACACCATAATCCAGTGCTAATTTCTAGTTAAGATTTAATCCAAATTTCCTTTGACTCTTTACTTATATGTATTTTGAATTATTTTTTCTTTTTCTTACCACACTTATAGAGTGAGTTAGGATGAAGAAAACTGCTTATCTATCCTACAGCATTTATGGTGTTATTACACAGAAGCTCAGGCAGCCAGTGCACAACTCTGTGCACATCTTTTCTAGCCCCCACCTCCCTCCACCACAACTTCACCCTTGCAGCTGCCTCCCTGACTCATTCCTCGTAAGTCAGGAGGGTGGTGATTGTGCTGATCTTGGAGTTAACACAAAATTATTAAGCACAGTACACTGTGTTTTTTTATATTCTTGGGCTCATTTCGGCATGATTAGGATTTGACTGAAGAGCTGAAATCAAAGTAGCAACTTTTTAAGGCGCTCACCTGTGCGGGAATTCATTTCACATGACTCTTTGAGTTCCAATACGGAGCAAACCCAGATTTGATGTGCCACTCTCTCGAGCACATGTAGCTCTTCCGGTCTTTAGAATCTGCTGTTTCTTGGACAACATACTGAAAGTGAAAAAGGCTTTCTTCAGCTTTTGTGGCAGTGAGAGAAACAGCGGGGGTTTTTCAAAAACAGACCAAAGGAGGTCGGGAATCCTGACGCTCGCTGCACGTTGTGAATGTTTGCCTCAAACGAGCGACAGACATCTCTCTCCCTGCAACTCGCACAACACAGGAAAAGGGTGGGGGGGTGGGAATATTCAATTAAACATTCCATTCCAGAACATTAGTAGGAAAGCTAATGCACCTTAATTAATGTTCAAATTGTTTGGA